ATTGTGTATACAGTGAAACAACAGAGTTTAAAAAATAAGTGACACCAAAACTGATAGAACTAAACAGAGACATAGACAAATCTACAATTTTAACTGTAAATTCTAACAACTATTTGAACAATTAATAGAACATCTAGACAGAAAATCCACAAAGACATGGAGTTCAACAATACCTTCAGCTATCAGGACCTAACTGACAGAACATCCCTCCCAAGAACAGAATACCTGTTCTTCCCAACCACCTATAGTACACCACAACATACCACATCCCAGGCTAGAAAGCAAACCTCATCAAATTTGAGAGAATTGAAATTATACAGAGTATGTTCTCTCACCATGACAACATAAAACTAGAAACCAATAACAGCAAGATAACAAAAATCTCCAAACACTTAGGAACCAAATGTTTAAATAGGCCTTGAGTCCAAAGACAGATGCCTTTAGGCCAACCAAAAAATGTATTTAACTGAATGAAAATGAAAATGCAGTTTGTCAAAATGTGTAAGATAGAGGCGAAACTCTATTGAGAGGAAATTTAGTAACATGAAATGCCATAATTTCTTGGTTGGGCACAGTGGCATATACCTGTAATATCAGCCACTCAAGATACAGAGATCAGAAGGATCATATGAAAAGAGGATCAGCACCATTCATCCTGCTGTATCAGCTTGGATGATTTGAAGCAAAATATTCTGAGAAAAAGTAAAACTAATATCAGATGTTCTGTTCTGAATGATTCCACTTCTTTTTTTAATATATATTTTTTATTGTAAAGATACTATACAGAGGGGCTGGGAAAGTGGCTCAGTGGTAGAGTGCTTGCCTTGCATGCACAAGGCCCTGGGTTCAGTTCCTCAGCACCACATAAGCAGAAAAAAGCCGCAAGTGGTACTGTGGCTCAAGTGGTAGAAAGCTAGCCTTGAGCTGAAGAGCTGAGGGACAGCGCCCAGGCCCAGAGTTCAAGCCCCATGACTGACCAAAAAAAAAAAAAAAAAAGATACTGTACAGAGAGGTTGCAGTTATATGGGCAAGGTAATGAGTCCATTTCCTATGGAGCATTGTTATACCCTCCTTTATTTTTCCCCTACCATCCATTGCCTCCCCACCTCCCCAATTCCTCCCTCTCTGTCCCACCCTCCCTCCCCTTACCCACTCCCCCACCTATCCCCACCCTGCAAAGTTGTAAAGTTCATTTTCAACTTGTCTTATACATCTCATTGTTACAATGGGTCATCCTGTGTCCTTATTTCAGCATTTTGTTATTTCCCTTGTGATTCTATAACATTTTTTAAGTAAAAAAATTGTTAAGTAGAGACAATTGATTTAGAGTTACCAGAGGTTAAAGGCAGGGTGGGAGCAAGATAGACTTGGGTATAACTATAAAAAAAAGTATAAGATCTTTGTGATTTAAAAAAAAAAAATGTCTTGCCAGGTGCCAGTAGCTCATGCCTGTAATCCTAGCTACTCAGGAGGTTAAGATCTGAGGGTTACAGTTCAAAGCCAGCCTGGGCAGAAAAATCCCTGTGAGACTCTTATCTCTAATTAGCCACTCAAAATCTGGAAGTAGCCCTGTGGCTCAAAAGTGGTAGAGCACTAGCCTTGATCAAAAAGAGCTCAGGGTCAGCACCCAGGCCCTGAGTTCAAGCTCCATGACTAACAAAAAAATGTCTTTTGACAGACAAGTGATACTGTTCTATAATTTAGCAACATGTTACTATTACAGAAAACTGAGTAAAATGTACAGAGGATGTTTTTATATTACTGCATTTTTAAATTTTCTTTTTAAGTATATTTTTCTATACAAATACATGGATTATTTCAAAGATTTTTTTAAGACTTATAAGAGGTATATTTGTTCTTGAGTTATGCATTCCTCTAGATTGGGCTTTTGTGCATTTTGCCTAATTGGTTCTTACTATAGCACCTTTTTGAGGGTGTGGTGCAGTCTTTCCCTTATTCCCATGTTGTGTCCAGACCTCTTTGTACTGGTAGAGTACGAGAGAACTTCTCCTTGCTATCCATCCCATCTTATCTAGAATTTATCTTTTTCCCCTCTCCTGCAGGTATTGTATTTTGATCCATTATACTATAGATGGAAGGGTAGAAACAAAGTAGAAGGGATTTCCAACATGGGAGGTGAAAGAAAGGGAGTTCCCAGTAAGAAAAAAAAATTGTGACACCACAACCTTTCAAAGGCACTGTGTTTAGAAACACAGGGCTCTCCTGGGTCAGAAATGAATGGACACAAAAGAGATATGGAAGATTTCGTCAAGGCAATTTACTTTTGTGCAAAAGGGTCCAAGGCCATTACTCTCCCCAGAGCTAGGCAGGCACACCAGGCAGAGCAGTTTGCTAGGCTTTTATCACAATCTAAACTGTCCCTCCTCCTTGTAAAGGAGTTAGGCTGACAGTCTTAAGTACAATTGATTGCCAAGGTTAAAAAAAAGGGGGGGGGGAATTCTTTCATTCTTGTCAAAGGTTCACTTTTTTTTTTTCACTTAGCAATTACAGTTTATTATTTTAACTTCTTCAACACAAGATTTATCTCCCTAACATGGCTAGCTGGCAACAAGTAATACAGATAACAGTTACAATTGAAGTAAATAAAGCAAATAATTCCAGGAAATATCAATATACAATACCAAATACAATTTAGTTTGACAGAGAAGAATATGTTTTCTCCCAGCAACAACTAGAAAAAATAAATTAGCCCTTGGTGAGGACAGGGGGAGTCTAGATTCTGTTCTATGACCCCATGAAGTAAACTAGAACACAGATGACTCTACCCCTTCAGTGTATCCTGTCCTCTGGGCTACTCCTTACTTCTTCATTTAACATAGTGTCCTGGGAGATTATAGGCCTCAACACTCCCTCAAACTGCTCCAGTTTTACCAACTTTCGTAGAAGCTTCAATGGAGGGAAGTTGGTAAGAAGGTTCCATATGACCTTCTTAGGGCTGTCTTCTTACCCATCAGTCTGTTTATTGCTAAGTTGAGGATTTTTTTATTATTATCTTTAAATAGTTGTACAAAGGAATTGTCATTCAGCAAAGCAGTTTATGAATAAATGCATCTTGAGCAGTATCACCCCTTTCAACATTTTCACCCCTCCTTTGACCTACTCTTCTCTAACTTTTCTTAATTTTGTAATATATATGCAATGAGTTCTTGACTGCATTCTCCTCCTCTCTGATTCATCTACCCCTCTCCCTTTGACCTTACCCCTCCCCACCACACACACCCTAGCAAGTACCAGTTTTCTGGTGCTTATTTTGCTGGGCTTTAACTCTGTCTTTCTAAGGACATTATTTGAGTTCTCCCCAAAAGTCTGCCATATTTCAATTAATACATTTGTAACCACCTCCATACCACCCAACATGTTTACTTAAAGGTAAATTCTAGCTACCACAAATGAGGGAAACCATGCAATTTGTTTTTCTGAGTCTGACAATATAATTTTTATCAAGTCTTTCCATTTCCTCATAAATGGTACAATATCATTCTTTCTAATGGATAAGTAAAATTCTACTATGTATATACACCATATTTCCTTGATCTGTTCATCTAATCAGGTATATCTAGAGCTAATTCCCTATCTTGACTATGGTAAATAGTGCTGCAGTGAACATGATTGTTCTGATGGCTTTACTGTAACCTTGATTGTGCTCTATTGGATAAATGCCCAGGAGTGGAATTGCTGGGTCTTAGGGTAGTTCTATATTTCATTTTTAAGGATCCTCCATACTGCTTTCTAGAGTGATTGAACAGGCTTACATTTCTACCAATAGTGTATTAGAATTTCCTTTTGGCCACATGCTCACCAGTATTTGTTATTGTATGTTTACTGGATAATGGCCATTCTAACATTCTAACTGGAGTAAAGTGGATTCTCAGTGGCTTTTTTATTTGCATTTCCTTTATTTCCTTCAGAAATGTTGAGCATTTCTTCATGTGTCTCTTGGCCATTTTTACTTCTTTGGAGAAGTCTCTCTTGATGCCCATTTATTGATTGGGTTGTTTAAGGTTTTAGTGTTTTTTGTTGAGCTCTGAATACATTCTAGATATTAGGCCCTTGTCTGATGTATAGCTGGTGAAAAACTTTTTTTAGTTTTTGATAAACTTCTCACAATGCAATAATCTCACATCCCACTTCTATTCTCTGAAGCTGGTATAAGGAAAGGGTTAGGAGGAATAGACCATACCACACCTAACGTCTCTCTTTTTTTTTTTTTGCCCTAAATATTTATCTTACATTTATACCTCTCCTTTTGTTGTTTGGTTACTGCTAGTAATTTTTTTAATGATTTCATTTTTCTATAAATTGAAGGAAGAATCTCTCATTGCCTTTAATAAGAAAAAAAACAAATGTTTTGCACTGTGTGTGTATGTGAGTGTGAGTATGAGTGTTTGCTGGTCCTGGGACTTGAACTCAGGGCTTGCTACTGTCCCTAAGGTTTTGTGCTCAAGGCTAGCACTCTACTTTTTGAGCCACAGCTCTACTTATGGCTTTTTGCTGGTTCATTGAGGCTAAGAGTCTCACAGACTTTGCTGCCCAGGCTGGCTTCAAACCTAAGACCTCAGCCTCCTGAGAAGCTAGGATTACAGGCTAATCACATGTAAATGTGAGTAACCCAGACTCTATTTTGCATTTCTAACATTCAGTTTAGTCTCCTGCTTTAATTCTCTTAGCTCTGTTCATTAGGAACTACCTAGAGATCACATTTTGATCTCTATTCTCAGCTATTAGCCCCACCTAAGAATTTCTTTCCTGATCAAGTTTATCTTGAGTATTTCTAGTCTTTATTTTTCTTTTGTCTGAGCAAAGATGATTTTAGAACACTAATGATTATACAAGGTAGCAGACCAAAGTATCAGCTCTATCCTTTTCTCTTTTTCTTAACTAAAAATCATTTCTGGCTATTATCTCAAGAGTTCCAGTATACAAGTTCTGTTTTTACCTTTTTAAAGAGTTACTTTAAAATACTATGTACTTTTTTAAAGGAACCAACAGTTAAAGAACCTGAAATGAATACAACTCTTCAAATGCGTTTCTTTGGGAAAAGAGGAGAAAGGAAACTTCATTATAAAGAATTTCGAAGGTAAATTTAAATATGTTTATTTAGGAGAATTCAATAAGTAGGAAGTGAAAAACTGAACATATTTCCCAGAACTCCAGACGGTACACATAAATACTATTTCTGAGCCAAGTGCTGGTGGCTTATGCCTATAATTCTAGCTACTCAGGAGGCTGAAATCTGATGACCATAGTTCAAAGCCAGCCTAAGCAGGAAAGATTAGAGATTCTTATCTCCAATTAACACCAGAAAACTACAAGTGGTGCTGTGGATCAAAGTGCTAGCTAGAGTGCTAACCTTGAGCAAAAAAGCTCAGGGACAGCAGCCAGTCCCTGAGTTCAGGCCCCCTTACCTACAAAAATAAATAAATAAGATTTCTACATTTACATAGTAGTTATCTCTAAGAACTAAACTTAAGAAACATAAAGTTACTATGTTTAGGAAGTGGCTCTGTGGCCCAAGTGGTAGACCACTAGCCTTGAGCTGAAGAGCTCAGGGACAGCGCCCAGGCCCAGAGTTCAAGCCCCACAAGAGACAAAAAAAAAAAAAAGTTACTATGTTTAAAATAGGAAAAATACTATCTATCTCATAGAATACAATATTCTTTTTAGTAACTTGATATTTGTAACCAAGAGATATGCCCTTAGTGTCAATTTGTTGTTAATATAAAACAAATTGGGCTGGGAATGTGGCTTAGTGGTAGAGTGTTTGCCTAGCATGCATGAAGCCTTGGGTTCGATTCCTCAGTACCACATAAACTGAAAAAGCCAGAAGTCCACTGTAGCTCAAGTGGTAGAGCGCTAGCTTTGAGCCCAGAGAGGCTCAAGAACAGAGTCCAAACCCTGAATTCAAGCCCCAGGACTGGCAAAAATAAATAAATAAATAAAGTACAAATATAAAACAGACTACCCAACAATACTTTTTAAAAAAGGACCATTCATATTTGGGTACACAGGGTACAGTCTTCCTAAAGGAAAGGTTTTCCTTCCTCCTCCTTCCCCCAGAATTGGCTGATTTTAACTGGGCTTACTTTTGTGTTAGAATCTACTATAGGTTGGCCTACAGGTGCCTGTTTTAAAATTCTTCATCTGGAAAACAGACCTTTTCCATTCTTTAACACAAAGGTTGACATACTTTTTTCTGTAGAGACAAAACAGTAAATGTGTTCTGTGTCACTACTACACAGCTTTACTCTTTTTGTTGTTATTGTTTTCTGTGTCAGTCCTAGAGCTTGAACCAGGGCCTGGGCGCTGTTCCTAAGGGTTTTATTTGTTTGTTTGTTTGTTTGCTTACTGCTAGCACTCTATCCCTTGAGCTGCAGATACTTCTAGCTTTTTTATATACGTTTTTTAGGCTGCACTTAAGCAAAGCCATCAGCAGCCTAAGGGTGCTGAGATATAAGTAAGAAAGTGGCTAAGAGTGGAGTCTGAGCTTCAGTAAGGATGAAAATAACAAGGGTGCTACACCATATCCACAGTACTGTGGCATCTACTGTCAGTATCCACAGCACCTTAGCAGCAACTGTCTATGCAACATACATGGCGGTTTTTTGTTGTTGTTTTATTGTCTTCTATATCTTTCAAGGTCAGATAGGCATTCTTCCTTTTACAACTGGCACCAGTAAATATGTATCACATCATTAATTAACTCTATTCAGGAACAGAATCTTATCTTTCATTTCTCTCTCATTCTGTAGCCCAATGGCTATCAAATACTTTTAAGTTCCTAATCAAGAATGATCTCTTGGACGCTTCCACTTCTTTCTGTCCCACTTTCCCCACCTTCTCCACTATACCAGAAATGCAGCTGTCTTTCACAGAGCTCTGTTTTCTTGTCTTGTCTTCCTCAGTCAAGACCAAGTCTCAAGGCCACTATGAAAAGAACAGTTAGTTATGATTTTAAGCCAAATTTCCTCCTTACCAATTTACTGTGCATTCACTTGCAAGTAAAGCATTCTATTATGAATCCTAAATAAGAATCAGTTGAGGGCTGGGAAAGTGGCTCAGTGGTAGAGAGCTTGCCTTGCATGCATTAGGCCCTGGGTTAGATTCCTCAGCACCACATAAGCAGGAAAAAAAAAAGCCAGAAGTGGTGCTGTGGCTCAAGTGGTAGAGTGCTAGCCTTGAGCTGAAGAGCTGAGGGACAGCACCCAGATCCAAGAGTTCAAGCCCTACAACCAACAAAAGAAAAAAAAAAAAAAAGAGCTGGGCACCAGTGGCTCACACCTGTAATCCTAGCTACTCAGGAGGCTGAGATCTGAGGATCACCGTTCAAAGCCTGCTCAGGCAGAAAAGTCTGTGAGACTCTGATCTCCAATAAACCACTAGAAAACCGGAAATGAAGCTGTGGCTCAAGAGGTAGAGTACTCACCTTGAGCTAAAGAGCGCAGGGACAGCACCCAGGCCCAGAGTTCAAGCCCCACAACTGACCAAAAAAAAGTAAGAAAAAAAAAGAATAAGACAAGAATTCAATAACCTCAAACCTCAATCCTTCCAATTGCAACTTCTGAATAACTAGAATTACAGGTGTGAACCACTGTGCCTATTTCTTACTTTATATTATATATTGTTCTAAATATATTTAGAGTAGAACTTTTTTAAAGGTATTTCAAATGCAAAAGAAAAATATATATAATAGAAAAGACCATTTAAAATCACAATAGAAATATATAACAACTAGAAATAAATATAACAGGCCAGATGTGATAATGTATGCCTGTAATCTCCACTGCTAGAGAGGTAGAAGTAAGGAGATTGCAATCTGAAGTCAGCTTACTAAAGTGTAAGACCCTATGATAAAAACACTACAAGTGCCTGCTGCCAGTGGCTCACACCTTAATCCTAGCTACTCAGGAGGCTGAGATCTGGGGATCACAGTTCAAAGCCAGCCCAGGCAAGAAACTCTGTGAGACTCTTATCTCCAATAAGCCACCAGAAAAGTGGCAGAAGTGGCACTATGGCTCAAGTGGTAGAGCACTCACCTTGAGCTGAATAGCTGAGGGACAGCGCCCAGGCCCAGAGTTCAAGCCCCACGACCGACCAAAAAAAAAAAAAAAAACCTATAAGTAGCCAGCCGCCAGTAGCTCACACTTGTACTCCTAGCTACTTAACAGGCTGAAATCTGAGAATCATGGTTTAAAGCCAGCCCCGGCAGGAAAGGCCAAGAGACTCATCTCTACTAAAATATCCAAACTGTGGCTCCAGTGGAAAGAATGCTAGCCTTGAGCAAAATAAGCTCAGGGACAATGCATAGGCCTTGAGTTCAAGCCTCAGGACCAGCACCAAAAAAAACCACTACAAGCAAAAGGACTTTGGAAATGACAGGTCCCCATACTGTCAATAATTAACAACAACAACAAAATTAGGGATAGCTAGGCACTGGTCATTCATGCTGTAATTTAGCCACATAGGCTGCTAAGATCAGAGAATCCACTTTCAAAGCCAGCACAGATAGGAAAGTCCATAAGACTCTTTTCTCCAGTTAACCACCAAATAGAGAGAAATTTAGGTTTGGCTCAAGTGGTAAAGTACCAGCCTTGAGCACAAAAGTTCAAGGACACCCAAGCTGCCTGCATTCAAGCCCCAGGACAGACACCAGGGGAAGAATAAGTAAATAAGTAAGGGCTGGGAAGGTGGCTCAGTGGTAGAGTGCTTGCCTTGCAATGCATGAGGCCCTGGGTTCGATTCCTCAGCACCACATAAACAAAAAAAAAAATCCGGAAGTGGCACTGTGGCTCAAGTGGTAGAGCGCTAGCCTTGAGCTGCAGAGCTGAGGGACAGTGCCCAGGCCCAGAGTTCAGGCCCCACAACCGGACCCAAAAAAAAAAAAAAAAAAAGGTAAGTAAGTAAATAAATATATAAATAAATGAGAAAATTTGAATATACATATTTATATACGAAGACATTTTCATAACCTGGATAGATATAAAGGAAAATGCACTCCTATTTCAAGAGACTCTCTCTGTTATTGAGTAGGAATCTCAGTATTGAAAACAAAACTGTTCTTCTTTTAATTAGTCTATAAATGTAATGATTATATTAGTCAGAACAGCCCATACTTTTTCTAGTTACAAACTTAACCATAAAATTCTTATGGCTAACATCAATGAGTTCTTGTTCAACCGTGCTACATTTCAGTTGTAGGCTGGAAAAAGCACTGTCATAGTTCCTTAGGAATCCAAGTCTCTCCAAGGCTCTGCTGTCTTGGAGCCCCATCATCTGGTAGAGACACCATCCTCAAAGACTGTGTCAGGAAAAGAAAGGAAGGAATCACATTCTAGGAATTGAATGTCTTGGCCTAAAACATCACCTGACACTTGGTTATTGGCCAAACTAATCACATAACACCACCTAAATGCACAGAGGTGAAGAAGAGTGGTCTTTCCCCTGTGTAGGAGACAGAAAAACCCTGATATGAATGAACTCTAATGGGTCTCAATAAAAATGCCATTAAAGGGAAACTAGACAGGCCATACAAGTTAAAATGAAAAGAATGTCAAGATATGAAAGTTATCAAGCCTAGGTAACTAAAAGAGTTTCAGATATGAATTTGACAGATCAATTGAACAAGAATACAAAGTACAGAAATCAACTCATATGCGCATGAACATTTTCTATATGTAAGATAGTATTTCAGATTAATTCATAAAAATTATTAATAAATGAAAATTTCACTGGTCAACTGATGGACAAAGTAAGATAACTCTACCTCATTGTTCTAAAACAATCCAGATGGTTCAAAACTTAAATCTTAGAGAAAATGAACCTGAGTATGTATAGGAAAAACTTGGGGGAAAATATCTTAAAGAGGAACAGATATAGATACAGATCTTTAAAAGCAAAACTCAGAAGCTTTCAAGTAAAAATTGTTGAAATGAGTACCTAAAAATTAAAAAGTGTATCACCTCCTCTCATCTTCATTTAAAGATATAATCAAAGACACATGAAAAAATAAAATAGGGTGTGGGATCTTGGCATCACCCATTTAATACCATTCTCCTTAATTTGTAATTGAATTTTTAAAACTTCATGAATAACAAGAACTTTAAGGGGTCTGAGCTATTAAAAACCAACATGTTAGCCAGGCACTGATGGCTCACACCTGTAATCCTAGCTACTCAGGAGGCTGAGATCTGAGGATTGCAGTTCAAAGCCAGCCCTGGCAGGGAAGTCCATGAGACTCTTATCTCCAATACACTACTCAAAAGAAATAAAGCTGGAGGTGACACTGTAGTTCAAGTGGTAGAGTACTAGCTTTAGCAAAAAGAAGCTCAGGGACAGTCCCCAGGCCCAGAGTTCAAGCCTCAGGACCAGCAAAAAAAAAAAGTCATCGTGTTAACAACTGTAAAGTTACATATTTTTAAGTTGCTCTGTTCAATTTTATGACTCCTTACAGAAGCTACAAGATTAGAGGCAAAAAAACAACAACCTTAAATCTGTATTATTTGCATAATTTGTGTCAGCTCTTTTCTTACCAAGTCCTCTGAGGGTGATGCTGAGAAGCCAGATGATCTCTAGGATCATCTTGAAGTCAAATGAAAACTCATTTGAATACTCATTGCTCCACTTAGTAAACCCTTGGGAAGCTACTTACATAAGATTTAGGCCATGACCGCACGCACACAGTAAATGACAGAACTAAAGATTAAGCATAGTCCATCGCACTCCAAAACCCACTACTTTTTCAATGCTGTGTGCACTGCTCTAACCAAGTACAAATGTACTCAACAGTATTTGTCTCCTGCGCTGCCCTAGCAGAGCACACATTGAGAAGCTTACACAACAGAAATGGATTTCTTCACCATGCTGGAAGTGGGAAGTCTGAGGTCAAGGGGCTGGCTACCTTTCCAGTTACAGGGCACTTCCTCACTGTGCCCTTATATAGCCACACACACAGAGAAAGAGAAAGGAAGTGCGCTCTGATGTCTCTTTTCCTGTAATAGCAGTCCTACAGGATTGGCACCTCACCCCTGTAACCTGCTTCTACCTTCATTTCCTTAGGGCATCAAAACATGCATTGAGGGCAGGGACAACATTCATTCTGTAACCCAGGACCATGCCAAGGCTTACAGTATGCCTCTCTAAGAGCTCCCATTCACAGTGTCCTCTCTACACCACCATACACAGTGGCCATACACATCTCTCCTGGTTCCTCCTAAGTTCTAAAACCTATTTTTCTATTATTACTCTGTGTATCAAACTTTTTAGTAGATTTGCTTAGAGAGATCTAAGTTCATAAGCTTTATGATAGAAGACTCATCATTAAATTCATTTGATTTTTTAATGTATTCATAAAATGTATTCATAAAATTGTAATAACCTTTTATTTTCATTAGAGCATTAGTTTGGATGAGTTCAAGTCATTTTGCCATTTTACCACTCACTTGGAAGATTTCGCTATCGCCATGCAAATGTTTAGCTTAGCTCATCGTCCTGTTAGAATGGGTAAGTAAAATCATTGATGTTATCTGCAAGCATTTTCAGTCTATTTTTGAAGTAGTTGATACCAACCAAGGAGTGAGCCATCTGTAAAATAATTTGACTTCTATTCAATGTGATTATCACTTATTTAACATTTACTTTAGGGCTGGGAAGGTGGCTCAGTGGTAGAGCACTTGCCTTGCATGCATGAGGCTCTGGGTTCGATTCCCCAGCACCACATAAGCAAAAAGAAAAAAAGCTGGAAGTGGCACTGTGGCTCAAGTGGTAGAGTGCTGGCCTTGAGCTGAAAAGCTGAGGGACAGCGCCCAGGCCCAGAGTTCAAGCCCCACGACCGGAACTAAAAATATATATATATATATATATATATATATATATATATATATATATCCTGTAAAGCTTTGATTCAATTAAAAGTTACGGTCTTGACATTTCTCAACCAAATTTATGATTGAAATGCATTTACAATGAGTGGTGTTTAGTGTCTCATTTCCCAAATAAGAAGAACTTTTATTTTCACAATGAAATGTAGATCAAGTCTAGCCTGGCTGATGGCCTGTTTTATCTTCTGTTTTTTAGCGGAGTTTAAGAGAGCTGTGAAGGTAGCAACAGGACAAGAGCTCTCCAACAACATTTTGGACACCGTTTTCAAGATCTTTGACTTGGATGGTGATGAATGCCTGAGTCATGGAGAGTTTCTTGGGGTGTTAAAAAACAGGATGCATCGAGGTTTATGGGTAACCAATTTTGAATTTAAAAAAATTATTACCCAGCTCACACCTGTAATCCTAGCTATTCAGGAGGTTGAGATCTGAGGATTGTAGTTCAAAGCCAGCCTAAGCAAGAAAGTCCATGAGACTCTTACCTCCAATTAACCACCAAAATGCCATCAGTGGAGCTGTGGCGCAAGTGGTAAAATGCTATCTTTGAACAAAAAGTTAAGGGACAGTGAGTACACAGGCCCTGTGTTCAAACCTCAAGACGGGCCAAAAAAAAAGTTGTTAGCATGATGTTCATCCTAAAAATGTAGGGCAAATATGTAAGCTTAAATAGAAGTTTAATTATTTATAGAAATTATGAGGCAATGAGATTGTCACATTTTTCTGCACTTTTTTTTTAATCTGGAGCCAGGTGCCAAAGGCTTGTCCCTATAATCCTTGCTACGCAAGACACTGAGATCTGAACATTACAGTTTGAAGCAAGCTCAGGCAAGAATGTCTGTGAGCACTCTTATATCTAATAACCTACCAAAAAGCCAGAAATGGACCTGTGGCACAAGTGGTAGAGTGCTAGCCTTAAGTAAAAGCAGCTCAGGTTATAGCACCCAGGTCCTGAGTTCAAGTCCAGAACTGCTTCCCCCCCCAAAGAAAAACAAAATTGTTCCTGGATCTAATAAAAACTGCTGCTAAGAAATTATAGCCTAATATTTGGCTTAGAGCTCTGTAGTTAGACATACCTGAATTCAAATCCTGTATGCAAAGCCACTTCATTTTCCTCATTTCTGGATTATGATTGAACTAAGAGAATCTGCCAGGCATAATTATGAGAAATAAGATACCATTATCTGAGGCACAGCAATGTTAGTTATATCATTATTCACTCTCTATGGGAAGAATCAGCCCTAGAATTCTGTTGAGACTAGAAATCTACTACAAGTGGATTCCACTAATACTAGAAGTACTCTCATGAAAGAAACATAATAATTGGTAGGTATGGGCTGGGAAGGTGGCTCAGTGGTAGAGTGCTTGCCTTGCATGCATGAGGCCTTGGGTCCAATTCCTCAGCACCATGTAAGCAGAAAAGCTGAAAGTAGTGCTATGGCCCAAGTGGTAGAGTGCTAGCCTTGAGTTGAAGAGCTGAGAGACAGCACCCAGGTCCAGAGTTCAGGCCCCACAGCCAACAAAATAAATAATAATAATTGGTAGGTAGGAAGGAAAAGCAGGATATTAGAGAATGTGATGTTCTTGGTCATGAAGGCGAATCTGCTCATTTACAACTTAGAAAAGTGAGTTCAAGCCTCCTTCCACACACATAATTTACAGAAACTATATAAGATTTTTAATAGCAAACCGGTTTGAAACTATAATCTACCCCCAAGTATTTTTGGGGGTGAGGGAGTATATAAAGGAAAAAATAACTAAGTAAACATGAAATCGTTTAAAATGGAAGAGAATGATGATTTTTACTTTTTTTAATTTAATTTTATTTTATTTGTGAACATACTGTACAGAGGGGTTACAATTGCATGGGCAGGATAATGCATACATTTCTTACCAAGCATTGCAGCCTCCTCCTTTGTTTACCCTTCACATCCCTTCCCAGCCTCCCCCCCTCCCCCCCAATCCCAATCCTTCTCCTCCCCCCCCCCCGATTTTTACTTTTTTAATCAATTATTTTATTAGCATTCATTAGTTGTACAAAGGGGGTTTTGGTGTAACATTTTCACAATGTGTCCAAATCAACCCTGCCTTCTCTATCACTCTCCCTTAGCCTCTTCCTCCTTCTTAAACAGCAACAGTTTTCATTTTTCTATTTTTATATGTGCAGACAGCGTACACTGACTATATTCATCTTCCTTCACCTGCTTCATTATCCCTCCCACCTTCTGCTGGCACTCACCTCTCCCATCAGAGCCTGTTTTACTTTCCTGTCACTTTTTTAGTGTGTGTTAATTACACCATGGAGTCCTGCTGTGGTATTTCAGATATGCATATATTATATTTTGATCATGATAACCCTCTATTGCTTTCTCTTCCCTATTAATTTTTACTTTTGATTAACAGGTACCACAACAACAGAGTGTACAAGAATACTGGAAATGTGTGAAGAAGGAAAGCATTAAAGGAGTAAAAGAAGTCTGGAAACAAGCTGGAAGAGGCCTTTTTTAGAGATAATGTAGCAGTTATGTTATTCCACATGACAGGATTTGGGGATTGGTTTTTCATAGTACAAGCAGCTTTTGTTAAATCTTCATTGACTCCCTTTGTAATGTAAAGATGCCTTCTGATTTAATACTCTGTTGATAAATTTCCGTTAAATGACAATAAAAGGAAAAGAGCATATTCATTTACAAAATAGATTGGATCCTGTCAGATCGATATTGGAAGTAATGTTTTGAGCTTTGGTAGGATGGAAAGCATAGTTACTCTCTGACTTCTTAGGTTAGATCACATGTGCTTTCTGAAAGGTTGAATAAATGTTTGTGAGAAAAAGCAGTGGATGCACAATTCCAGATATTATGTGGGTCTGATAGAGTAAATGAAGTTTCAGATTTACTAAAAGTTGTTATCATCTTTATCATCTCAGAAATTTCTCATGTTTTATTTCAGTTAATAACGTAGCCATGTCTTTGTTGTCTTTAATGTATGTCTCTACATCTTATCTGGAAGCAGAATAAAGTAATTATACAGATTCAGAAAAACTCAGAGCTTTTTATTTTTAAATGTAAATGTTTCTTTGTTTTGTGGGTCTCACTGATCTGTATTCTTTTTTTTTTTTTGGTCATGGGGCTTGAACTCTGGGCCTGGACACTGTCCCTCAGCTCTTCAGCTCAAGGCGAGTGCTCTACCACTGAGCTACAGCACCACTTCCAGTTTCCTGGTGGTTTATTGAAGACAGGAGTCTCATGGTCTTTCCTGCCCAGGCTGGCTTTGAACCGTGATCCTCAGATCTCAGCCTCCTGAGTAGCTAGGATTACAGGCGTAAGCCACCAGCACCCAGCCTGATCTGTATTCTTAAAAACTAGTATGAGATGTCACTCAGAGGCAGAGTGTTTGCCTGGCTTGCAGGAAAGCCTTAGGCTCCATGCCCAGCACTGAAAAACACTAGCAATAGTTGGGAAAATTTGTGTCATAAGATCAGGGTACCATGAGATATACTGAGTTGTTTCAATAAATGTTTGAAATGGCCTTAGATATGGAAATCAGTACAAGGCTTCCCAAAAAACTAAATAGACATACCTTATAATTCTACTATATCACTCTTGGGTACATATCCAAAGGGGAGTAAATCAATATACAAGAAAGATATTGGAAGTAGCACTGTGGCTCAAGTGGTAGAGCGCTAGCCTTGAGCTGAAGAGCTGAAGGACAGCACCCAGGCCCAAAGTTCAGGCCCCACGACCGGACCCCCCCCCCCAAAAAAAAAAAGAAAACAGAAAAGGAGACTTTTTGGTTGTTGGTACTAGAAATTGGACTCAGGACCTCATCTCAAATATATGGCTGAGCCACTTTTTTACAATAGTTTTTGTTTGTTTTATTTTGTTTTGTTTTTGTCAGTCTTGGGGCCTGAATTCTGGGACCGGGTGCTTCCACTCAAGGCTAGTGCTCTAAACTTGTCATAGCACCACTTCCGGTTTTTCTGCTTATGTGGTGCTGAGGGATCAAACCCAGGGCCTCATGCATGCAAGGCAAGCACTCTACCACTGAGCCACCTTCCCAGCCCAACAGTGATTATAAAAAATATTTTAGATAGACTGCTGCTTTCTACCTAGGCATGTGTCTGAGCCATGATCCACTCTATTTTAGGCTTCCCCAATGGAGAGCCAGGTTTTGAGTTCAGTTGTATATTTGAGGGGTAGTCATTTTCAACTAGGCCTCTTTTAATGTCAGGATGAGAAATGTGGGTTGGCCGCTGGTGGCTCACACTTGTTATCCTAGCTACTCAAGGCTAAAATCAGAGAATTGTAGTTCAAAGCCAAGCAGGCCAGAAAAGTCCATTTGCAAAATAATTATCAAAGGGGTATAAGTTGGAGGCATGTCTCAAGCGATAGAATACCAGTTGACCAAGTACAAAGCCCTGAGTTCAAACCCCAATATTGCCACACACACACACACAAAAAGAGTTGAGATGAGGAACTGAGAAGACTCAAGTCATCCAAATGCTCAGTGAATGCCACAAAGGGTGAGGCACTTCCCTGGCAATGAGGAAATAGATGGGAACACAGACCAACCCCGTGTCCACACAGATCTTACATTCTGACACACACACTGCCAGTTAAACAGGAAGCAACATGTACCAGTGCTAGCCTTATTTTTTTTATATCCCTCTAAGCATCCCACATAGGTGGGATGACAGACACACCAACATGGCCTAGCCTATTTGGTTATTTGGGTTTAATTTGGTTTTGGTTTTGGTCCTTGGGCTGGAATTCAAGACTTGGGCACTGTTTATGAGTTTTTTTGCTCAAGGATAGTATGCTATCACTGGAGCCACAGCTCCACTTCCAGCTTTTTGGTAGTTGATTGGAAATAAGAGTTTCCTGGACTTTCCTGCCCAGCCTAGCTTCAAACCATGCTTCTCAGAACTCAGCCTTCTAAGTAGGATTACAGGCTTAAAACTACTAGCACCCAGTTATGCCCAGCTTTTTTTTTTTTTGTACTGGGAATTGAATTCAGGACATTGCACTTCACTTGCTAGGCAAGGGCTTTGCCACTGAGCTACATCCCAGCCCTATGCCCAGATTTTTAGTGGTTGAGATTGTTTTGCTCAGCTGGCCTTAAACTGGGATCTCCCTAGTATCTGCCCCCCAAGTAGCTATGATTACAGACTTGAACCACTGCACCCTGGTAAGACAGTATTTGGGTGATTAGAAATCAAATTTTTACACAACTGTAATCCTAGCACTGAAGCCAACCTGGACTATATTTCAAGATCCTGTCTCAAAAAACCAAAGCTGAAAATAAAATTGAGCTGAATTTTGGGGGGATTTAGTTTTGTCTTTTGAGGGAGAGTTCACTATGTAAGGCTAGCCTCAATTTTGCCATCACCATGCCTTGTTCTTCCAAATATTGCAATTACAGGGCTGGGAAAGTGGCTCAGTGGTAAAGCGCTTGCCTTGCATGCTTGAGGCCCTGGGTTCGATTCCTCAGCACCCATAAGCAAAAAACAAGCCGGAAGTGGTGCTGTGGCTCAAGTGGTAGAGCGCTAGCCTTAAGCTGAAGAGCTGAGGGGCAACGCCCAGGCTCAGAGTTCAGGCCTGCGACCAGACCCAAAATAAAAACCAAATATTACAATTACAAAAACACCCTGCCTCACTCTGAAAACAGAACTAGTTGTTTCAAATTTGAAAGAAAGTGCTTAATCTCAAAAGAACTGTACAAATAAGTAATTTAGTTTTCTATGATTTTTGCAAAACTACTTGATCCTATTTGAAAAGCATATGGGTTTGTACTAAATAAGCTAACTAGATTAGCCAGTGATGCCTCATGAGACACTCATCTTGCAAGCAGCTGTACTTCCTAAAAATCAAAACAGAACTTTTAGCCATGTGTTTCTTTACTGTCATTTTGTTGAATAAATGGTCATTAAGAATCCTAATGTTTGGTTGGTTATGTTGTTATTTCTCTGTTTATCTTTTAAAAGGTGGAGAGCATGATCTCCTGAGCTTCATCCATCTTCCCTACTGTCCAGGGATCTCATCATGCCTCTGGTTTCCATTGTCTCCCATGAACTCTAGGCACATTTGCTTCTGTGTGTGTGGTCTGTGTGTGTGTGTGTGTGTGTGTGTGTGTGTGTGTGTGTGTGTGTGTGTGAGCTTCATCCATCTTCCCTACTGTCCAGGGATCTCATCATGCCTCTGGCTTCTATTGTCTCCCATGAACTCTAGGCACATTTGCTTGTGTGTGTGTGTGTGTGTGTGTGTGTGTGTGTGTGTGTGTGTGTGTGTAATGGACCTTAAACAGAATTTTGCAATCTCAGGATTTTTGTTGATTTTTTTTTTTTTTTTTTGGCCATGGGGCTTAAACTTAGGGCCTGGGCTCTGTTCCTGAGCTCTTTTGCTCAAGGCTAGTGCTCTACCTCTCTGACACAGCTCTACTTCTGATTTTCTGGTGGTTAGTTTGAGATCAGGGTCTCATGGACTTTCCTGCATTGGCTGGCTTTGAACAGTGATCCTCAGATCTCAGCCTCCTGAGTACCTAGGATTACAGGCATGAGCCACCAGCTCCTGGCTGGCTTGAGATTTTTTGTTAGTTTAGTTTTGTTTTTTTTGCTCATGGGTGGTTGGTGCTCTACCAGGATTGTGCTCTGCCAATTGAGCCTCACCCTCACTTCCAGCTTTTTGCTGGTGAATTAGAGATAAGAATTTCTCAGGGCTGGGAATATGGCTTAGTGATGCATGAAGCCCTGGTTTCGATTCCTCAGAACCACATAAACAGAAAAAGCCGGAAGTAGCACTGTAGTTCAAGTGGCAGAGCACTAGCCTTGAGCTGAAGAGCTGAGGGACAGTGCCCAGGCCCAGAGTTCAGGCACATGACTGACAAAAAAAAAAAAAGATAAAGGGATCAAGATGCAGATCAGTAACAGAGTACTTGTCTAGCATGCTCAAAACAAATTCAAATCATAATGGAGAAAGTAATGTCAGCAGATAACAGACAATGGAGCTTCAAGAATCTTTTACTAAAATAGCTGTGAAACTGGCAAGAACTATTCAACTGTTTTGAAACTGAAGTCTAGCAGAACACCTTTAGCATCTGTGTTGACGCTTGATGAAGAGGCTGATACATTTTGTGCATTTTGGCAGCAGGCAGGCCACTTTCCAGTGCAGCCTCCTGAAGCCATGAAGAGCAAGGAAATTGTCACCATGAGTCAGTCGAGGTTGGGTGCTTCAGGAAGCCCATCAATTGCTGCTTTTGATCTGTAGAAGAACCAGCACATAAAACAGTCATCTTTAATTATTATTTATATAATTTTAATTTATTTGTACAAAGGAGGTTCAACTGAGAAGAATTACCAGTACCTGGCCAAGTACACTGTATCTTGATCAAAGTCAATCTTCCAATTCATCTCCACAGGCTGAAGCAGCTTCTCAACCACAGGTGATTTAGGAAGACAGGAAGAAAGAAGGAAGAAAGAAAAGAATTTAAAGCCAGTTCCTGGTGGCTCACACTTGTAAACAGAAGGCTGAATAATAGTTCAAAGACAGCTCACGCAGACATATCAGAGTTTTATATCCAATTAGCTAGCAAAAAGCCAGAAGTAGTATGTGGTTCAAATGGTAAAGCACTAGGCTTGAGCAAAAAAGCTAAGCAAGAGTAAGAGGCCTTGAGTTCAAGACTCAATACTGGCACAAAAAAGCTGGGCTGGAGGCATGACTCAATGGTAGAGCACTAACCAAGCAAGCTCAAGGCCTTGAGTTCAAATTCCAGTACCATCCCTCCCCCCCCCAAAAAAAAAACAATGACCTTATTGGCTAGGCAATATAGATCTGTTCAAGTAGTTAAGCCTGGGAGAATAATGGGTTTAGATCAGCCTGGCAAAAATATTCACAAGACTCTATGTTAAAAAATAAAAAGCTGAGTATAGTGGCACGTGCCTGTTATCCCAGTGATATGCCCAGGCTAAATGTAAGACCCTACTCAAAAAATAGCTGCATCTGGGCACTGGTGGCTCATGTCTGTAATCTAGCTACC